TTAGAATTCATATTATGGCAAGAACCACAATCAGTTTAGCAAAGGGAAACGACAGTCCATCATTACTTCAAGAACCGAAGGTCAGGCAGTCCAGAACATTGCAAATCCTCTGAATGGGTCCCCAAGTGCAGTGGCAAAAACCATCGAGTGCTGCGACCAAACTGGCTTCTCCCAGGAAGGAAGAGCGAGAGTCATCTCTGCTGCTGAGAAGGAGCTGATCTGAGTCACCAGCCTCACAAATCACCAGTTCAATCAGCAGCCCAGATTAGACGCCACATAAATGGCACACAGAGTTCTAGTAGCAGAGACATCTGTACATCAACCGTTCAGAGCAGAACCAGTCAGACCACAGCTGCTGCTGGGAAAAACAACAAGCAGAAGAGATTTGTTTGGTCCAAGAAACAAGGAACAAGGAATGGACAATGACCGTGTCTTTGTGTGACACCCAAAAGATGGTCTCTACATGGTCCCTGCTGTGAAGCAGGGAGGAGGAGGAGGTGTGATGGTGGTGGGATGACATACCATCCCAGTCTGTATTTAGTCTGACAATCATTTATACTTTAACAGGACAATGACTCAAAAAAACACCTGTAGGAAGAGCCATGTGACCAAGAGTGCTGCGCCTTCACAGTCACCTGACCCTAACCCAGTCAGGTTGGTTTTAGATGAACTGGACTGGAGGTAAAAGGACCAACAAGTGCTCACACAGTCAGTCAGAAGCATATATAAATGTATATATGTCCGTATATATATATATGGTTCTGTGACTGACTGTCACATATAAAAGAAACATGGAGGAGACAGAAATCAACGGGTCTGACTGATAAACATGTTTTTCTGTTTCTTCCCTCTCCACCAACAGCACTAATGGCATTTTGAACAGATTCTCTTTTCACTCCATCACTCATCTGCTCTGACACAGACTTTCCATCAGCCCGACTCCACACTTGGACATAAAACGCACTTTAATTGGCTAACGCTTACGCCCCTGGATGTTCCCTCCTAATAAAACATAAAACTCACTGGCATTTGGACTTGGAAGGCTGTACCTTTGTTCCACCTGCTTCCATTTTCATTACTTCAATATGCAGTACATCAGGCAGTTTGAAGGAAAATGTACAGATGCCAGCTCTGTGAGATGTCACACACCAGAGTGCTGCTGATGCTGCTGCTGCTGCTGCTGCTGCTGCTGATGCTGCTGCAGGGAGTGCAATGATGTGCAATTTGCGTGACATGACCAGAAAGCAGAGCACATGCAATTAATAACAGAGATAACACTGACCACGCCCTGACCTCCTCCTGCTCCGACTCTGGTTGGTGCTAATGGCTGCAGATCTATATGTCTGAGTCACACTGTTCCATGATCAGTGTGTGTTTTTATTAGAGCTGAAGGAAAGGGTGAATCATAAAGGCCATGATCTAGTGTGTGTGTGTTTTCGTGGATCTCACTGGGCTGGACATGAGGACGTGCTGTACTGTGGACGGAGCCAGAGGTGCCACACAGTCAGGCTGTGGTGACAGAGAGCGGCTCCAACCACAGATGTGATGAGAAGACATTAGCTCTTTACACAATGTGACCAGTGTTAAGAATCCAACATGGTTCTATTTCAGAATATTTATTTATTTTTTTACTGTTGGTTGAAGTGTTTTAATCTTTCCCTTAAATTAACATGGAAAAAACCCCACACCACTGAGGTGGAACTGAAGGAGGAGAGTTCATTCAGAGGAGACACAAACATACAAACGCAGAGAATCACCAAGGAATCTTTTTTTTTAAAAAAAGGACAACCTAGTGGTTTCCAAAGTAGGGGGCGTGGCACTAGTGCAGGGGCGAGGTGGCCCCTGATTTGTAATTGCAGTTTAAAGTTCAGCAGCCGCGGCTGCAGATTAATTGCTCGTTTGAGAATGTTTTTTTCCTTAAAAAGGAAAAAGAAAGTGATAAATATTCAATTTCCTCTCTTTACAGGAGCGTAGTGGTTTAGTGGTTAAGGAAGCGGACTTGGGTCCGGAAGGACTCCTAGTGACAAAGTTTGAAGCAAGAACCGTGTCTTGAACCCACAGGACTGTGTGACTGTGTGTGGGGAGAGGAAAGTGAAGGGCAACACATTTAGCAGCGCGGTGAGTTCCTGTGAGACCAACATGAACATGTCAGTACAGTTAGGTACAGTGGATATGACAGGTCGTTATTTTAACATCATAAAACCATCTGCACTTTTAGTGGCGTTTCCTTCTTTAATTTAACAAGGGATGTCTTTGAGGACGGAATCATAAAGATGTAAAAATAAAGTACACGTCCTCTCATTAGTCTGACGTTTTTAACCCGGGCTGTGGCTGTTTATTGGTTCAATTACACATTAGGCACAAAACAAATGCTTAAAAAAGCATTTGACACAAAGGGACTTTATGGCTAACCAACCTGGGGGGCAGCCCCCCCCCCATACCCCCTCCCCCGTGGGTATCACAAGGGTGAACCCTTATTATACACTATTATTTTCCACAGTTGTTTTCAGGAACACCAATGTTCAAAATAAGTAAAAAAAAAGTGAAGTCAGGTCAGATGTGGATTTTAGGGTCAGTTTTAATTTGTTATGGAGAAAATTCACTAAAATAAATATCGTAGTGTGTCGGCTGTGTGACCAGGGTGTCGAACAAACATCACTACATCACTGTGTGTGTGTGTGTGTGTGTTTTGTGTCACTTTCCACTTCCTGTCATCGTCATTCTACATAAGAAAACCACAGCCGGGTCATGTGACCTGGTGACAGCTTCCACTTTCTGTCCTCACACACTGTAACCCTAACTCTCACGTTGGATGAATTTACTACTTTACTACTTGTTTCTAAGCAGAAGTCTCTGAGGAAACAGTACCAAGTAAAGTGTACAGGAACCAGAAAGAGGAAGAGGAAGAAAGCAGGCGGAGCAGTGATGGACACAACAGACGAGCCCTTCTGCAGACCAGTCAGCGTGAATGGCGGTGAGCGTGAATTCATTTTCCCTGTTGTTATTTAGAAGAGAACATAAACCAAGGATTTGGTTTAGTTCTGACAGAAAACTAATCTTAACTCCAGGTCAGTTAGTTAGGTCAGTTTAAAATCTAAACTAGAGACATAAAAAGATTAGCAGGTGTAGCACCTCTGAATCAAGCTGTGAATGTTGTAACATTCAGGATCTGGTGAAACCATTTTCTAAGATGTGGCATCTTGACATTTTGTGTTTTATCATTGCCTGTAGGGGGCGCTACAGCTATGAGGATGATTTGTTGTCAAATATATATGAACCCAGATGTCAGGGCATATTTTTGTTACATGGCTAAATGTCAAATTCAGTTCATTAACCTTTGATCACAAATGTTAGGGTAAAAAAAAGGATCCTGAGTGAATGAATTCAGACCAGTAAAGAGGAGGTGAAACAATATGTGAAAAAATATACATAAGAAGAAAATGTTGCACAGAGCTGCTGCAACTAGTGACCACACGGGCGGCCATCTTGAAAACTGATCATTATTCCATGGACGAGTATGAGTTTGAGTTTTCAGACCTAGACTGGTTTGTAAGAATAACGCTGCTGCTGCTGCTGTTGTTGTTGTTGTTAAGAAGCTCAGGTGCACAACTGTTTCCCATAATCCTTCTGTGTCCTGTGTCTTCCAGTGTATTCTGTGCGCTACACTGAGGAAGTTCTTCTCCCCGTCTTCAAAGACGAAAGTGTCAAGATCACCATGGCGTCACCGCAGCTGCCTCCTGCTACACCAAACAGCGCCCCCTGTGATCTGTCTGAGCTCAGACTGGTCCTCTTGGGGAGGAAAGGAGTTGGGAAGAGTGCTGTAGGCCACACCATCCTGGGAGAAGCGTCAGGGTTGGAGAGCTGGAGGCCCACGGAGGAGTGCGTGAAAAGACAAGGCAGTGTTGTGGGCAAATCGGTGACAGTAGTGGACACACCTGGGTGGGAGTGGTACTACCCACTCAACAGCACCCCCAACTGGGTGAGGAAGGAAACTGTGAGGAGTGTATCGCTGTGCCCTCCTGGACCACATGCGGTGCTCCTGGTAGTTCGAGCCTGCGCCTCAGTGACGGAGGCCTACATCAGGGAGATTGAGGAGCACCTACAGCCTCTGGGCAGAGGAGTGTGGGAGCACACCATGCTGCTGTTCACCAGAGGAGACGAACTGGGTCTGACCACCATGGAACAAAGAATCCTGACCAGTGGGCCGGCTCTTCAGAGACTTCTGCAGAAATGTGGGAGCAGGTACCATGTGGTGAACAACCACGACAGAGGAGACAGGACGCAGGTCCAGGAGCTGATCAGGAAGGTGGTGCGGATGGTGGAGGAGAAGAAAGGAGTCAGACACTTAGAGATGGACAGTACCCTGCTGGTGGGTTTGGAGGCAGACAAGGGGAGGAGAGCCAGGGAGAGGAGGAGGAAACAGAGGCAGATGGAGGCGCAGACCCAGAGAGGAACCATCAGAGACGCTCTCACCAGTCAGTTCTCCTATTTCTGTGTCAGAGTTTTATTAGATGATGATGCATAATTTTACTACGATTAACCCTAACTCTGTCTCAAGCACGTCCTCTTTTGTAGATAGGACTAAAGCCATCGACCCAGGTCTTTGACTCGGGACTTAGTTGAAAATTTGAGTCTTTAAGTGTTTCTTCCTCTTGTAGGAAGGAAGGAAGGAAAGTGAACTCCTTGTCAGTGTGACACAGCTCACCACTGCACACAACCAAATGTGACCTCTGTTTTTAACCCATCACCAAAGTGAACAGTGGCAGCTTTAAGAACCAGGGAGCAGTGAGTGGAGACGGAGCCATGACAGAGCACCTCAGTGGGAACTTGGCAGCTGGTGGACTAGAACCTGAAACCTTCTGGACCCAAGTCCACTTCCTGAACCACTAAGCCACTACTGCCCAGGTGGCAGTAATGTATCATAAAGGACTCAAAAATAGTATAAAGACCATTAGCAGAATTAGCTAGGCCTGGTTTATGGAGCACACTGACAATTATTTTAGGTTAATATTTTTGTCAAACTAGATGAAAAATGAACCAAGATGTTTCATCTAAACATACCTTTGTTTTCTGACAGGTGACGTTCCTCAGGGATTTGGGTTGGATGCTCATCAGTCCTTCTCCAAGTCTCCCAGACAACTCCACGAGATCCGGCTGGTGCTGCTGGGTGAACGGGAAACTGGAAAGAGCGCTGCGGGAAATACGATCCTTGGGAAAAACAGCTTCTTCACAGCAGGCGTCGTGACGGAGGAGTGCACCAGTCAACAGGCTGAGGTGACCAGGAGGTGTGTGACGGTGGTGGACACGCCCGGCTGGGAGGCAGGAGTGGCTGGAGCAACACCAGAGAGGGTGAAGAGGGAGATCGTCAGCAGTGTGGCCTTGTGTCCACCAGGACCCCATGCTCTCCTACTGACTCTGAGAGTGGACACTCTGGTGAGGGCAGCACATGTCAGGGAACACCTGGAGCTCCTGGGTGGAGGTGTCTGGAGGCACATCATCCTGCTGTTTACTCACGGTGACCAGCTCAGAGCGGGGGTGGACATCCAGCATCACATCCAGAATGGAGGCCGGGACCTGCAGTGGCTGCTGGAGAGATGCAGAGGCAGATATCATGTCATCAGCAGTGTGGGTGGAGCAGGAGATGGAGGGAGAGGAACGGTGACGGAGCTCCTGGAGAAAGTGGAGAAGGTGGCGGCGATGAACAGATGCGAGGCCTTCTCAAATCTGGTGCAGGAGGTGAGAGATCTGAGTCAACAAAGAAACCAACAGTTCAACCAGCGACTGAAGGAGATGGGAGACAAGGTGCTGCGTCAGCTTTCAACAGAAACGCAGAAACAACTGGAGGAAAAACAAAGAGAGATAAAAGAGATGGAACAAAAGTTTGTGTTTCAGATGGAGGACAAAACGCTGCAGCATCAGAGGGAGGTGGAAATCAATCATCAGAGTCACAGACAACTGGTAGAGGAGTTACAAAGTCGGCACATCCATGAAATTGAGCAACTGAAGGAGGAGCTGAGGAACATGAAGGAGCAGGAGATGAAGAGGCTCGGGTGGTTTTTAAACAGGAAGAAGAAGGTGAAATCCCCTGGGAAGGTTCACCTTCAGAGAGAAGAAGAGGAGGAGGAGGAAGAGGAGCGGAGGACAGGTGAGACAAAGGCTGACTTTGGTGAACTGGAGGAGAGAATGCGGTGGTTGGTGGAGGACAAAGAGAGAGAAATTCAAGATCTGAGTTTGGAAAACCAGAGAAACCTTGTGACATTAAACCAAAACAGAGAGGAAAGAGAGAAGCTGATGCTACAGTTGGAGCTGAGAGAGCGAGAGACAGAAGAACTGAAGGAGAGAATGGAGGAGCAGCAGGTGAAGCTGCTGGACCTGGAACGTACTGGTGTAGAAAAGGAACAAATGAGAAAGCAGATGGAGGAGGCTGTTAGAGGAGAAGCTGGGAGGTGGAAGAAGGAAGTAGAAAAACTGAGAGAGACTGTGGAAGTTTTAACAGCAGAGATGAATGAGACTAGTAGACGCTGTGATGCCGCTCTGAGCAGAAAAGAACAGGAACACGTCGGAGAGTTGAGAAGACTCCAGGAAGAAGTTCAGTTGGAAACAACAGAAGGCCTAAAACTGCAGCACCAGGAGGAGATGGTCAGAAAAATCAGTGAGCTGGAGAAACTGATGGAGAAAACACAGGTTCAACAGCAGAGGGAAACTGTGCAGAAACTGAAGGAAAAGGAAAAAGAACTGGACAGAGTCAAGAAGAAGCATGAAAATGAAACAAGTCGTCTAAAAGACCTGCTTGTCAAAGAGACCGAAAAACATTTGGAAGCAGCAGAGCGTCAAAAACGGTTCGAGCACCAAATGAAAGAGAAAACGCTCCAGAGTAAAAAAGAGAAGGAAATGATTCTTTCAAACCACAACAGAGAGAAAGAAAAGGAAATAGAGCTGTTAAAAAGGCAACACCGTGGAGAAATGTTGGGAAAATTAAAGGAAATGGGAAAAGTGCAGAGAGAAAATGAGGAATGTGTAAAAAATCTGCACCAAGACTACAAGAAACAAATAAAGGAAATGCAGGAACTAAACCAAAGTGAAGTGGAAGAGAAGGTGACGCTTTTAAAAGAATTGAAGAAACAGCTGCATAAAAGAGAAGCTGAAATGACCGCCTTAGAGGAAAAGTTTTTGGACCAATTAGAGGAAAACATGTTAGAAAGTGAAATAGAGAGAGAAATAATTCAGCAAAATCACCAGAAACAAGTGGAACAAAAGCTGAAGGAGAAAGAGAAGGAACTGGATGAGTTAAAAGCAGGGCACTGTGAAGAAATGAAGGAAAGAGAGGAGGAAATAGAGAAACTGCACACAGTCATAGAAGGAAAGGAGGCAGAGAAGAAGGAGGCTGTGGAAAAACTAAAAGACTTGGAGGAAGAATGGAGAAGGGAAGCAGAGGAGCAGAGAGCCTGGTTTTCAACAGAAACGCAGAAACAACTGGAGGAAAAACAAAGAGAGATAAAAGAGATGGAACAAAAGTTTGTGTTTCAGATGGAGGACAAAACGCTGCAGCATCAGAGGGAGGTGGAAATCAATCATCAGAGTCACAGACAACTGGTAGAGGAGTTACAAAGTCGGCACATCCATGAAATTGAGCAACTGAAGGAGGAGCTGAGGAACATGAAGGAGCAGGAGATGAAGAGGCTCGGGTGGTTATTAAACAGGAAGAAGAAGGTGAAATCCACTGGGAAGGTTGACCTTCAAAGAGAAGAAGAGGAGGAGGAGGAGGAAGAGGAGCGGAGGACAGGTGAGACAAAGGCTGACTTTGGTGAACTGGAGGAGAGAATGCGGTGGTTGGTGGAGGACAAAGAGAGAGAAATTCAAGATCTGAGTTTGGAAAACCAGAGAAACCTTGTGACATTAAACCAAAACAGAGAGGAAAGAGAGAAGCTGATGCTACAGTTGGAGCTGAGAGAGCGAGAGACAGAAGAACTGAAGGAGAGAATGGAGGAGCAGCAGGTGAAGCTGCTGGACCTGGAACGTACTGGTGTAGAAAAGGAACAAATGAGAAAGCAGATGGAGGAGGCTGTTAGAGGAGAAGCTGGGAGGTGGAAGAAGGAAGTAGAAAAACTGAGAGAGACTGTGGAAGTTTTAACAGCAGAGATGAATGAGACTAGTAGACGCTGTGATGCCGCTCTGAGCAGAAAAGAACAGGAACACGTCGGAGAGTTGAGAAGACTCCAGGAAGAAGTTCAGTTGGAAACAACAGAAGGCCTAAAACTGCAGCACCAGGAGGAGATGGTCAGAAAAATCAGTGAGCTGGAGAAACTGATGGAGAAAACACAGGTTCAACAGCAGAGGGAAACTGTGCAGAAACTGAAGGAAAAGGAAAAAGAACTGGACAGAGTCAAGAAGAAGCATGAAAATGAAACAAGTCGTGAGCAAAATCACCAGAAACAACTGGAACAAAAGCTGAAGGTGAAAGAGAAAGAACTGGAGGAGTTAAAAGCAGGACACTGTGAAGAAATAGAGAAACTGCACACAGTCATAGAAGGAAAGGAGGCAGAGAAGAAGGAGGCTGTGGAAAAACTAAAAGACTTGGAGGAAGAATGGAGAAGGGAAGCAGAGGAGCAGAGAGCCTGGTTTTCAACAGAAACGCAGAAACAACTGGAGGAAAAACAAAGAGAGATAAAAGAGATGGAACAAAAGTTTGTGTTTCAGATGGAGGACAAAACGCTGCAGCATCAGAGGGAGGTGGAAATCAATCATCAGAGTCACAGACAACTGGTAGAGGAGTTACAAAGTCGGCACGTCCATGAAATTGAGCAACTGAAGCAGGAAAGTGAGGCGGCGAAGAGGGGTTACAGGAGAGAGATGGAGGAGAAAGAGGGAGAGGCAAAGGAGGTGAAAACGAATCTGATCAGCAGAGCTGAACGACAAATGAAGCAAGAGAAGGTGGATCAGTATGAGCAGGAGGTGAAGAAGAGAGATCAGGATGTCCAGAGAAAGGAGGAGCAGGTGGAGAGCTTGCTCAGAGTTCTTGAAGGCAAACAACAAGAGCTGAGCTTCCACGGTGAAGACCTCCAAAAGAAGGTGAAAGGTCTGAAGGAGCACAGCCAAGAGCTGAGGGACAGAGAGCACCACCTGATCAACGAGGAGCAAGAGCTGCTCAAATGGAAGTCAGAGCTGCAAGCGCGAGATGATCACATCAACTCCACCACGCAGCAGCTGGACGAAATGGGCCGGGACTTGACTCTGCTCAGAGAGGAGCTCCGCAAGAAGGAGGCCAACATGAAGATGTTCATGGAGAAGCTGAACAAATGGCAGCAGAGCCTCGAAGCTCGAGAATCAGCATTTCAGAAAAAGGAGGAAAACGGTTTAGAAAGTGTTGAGTGTGATTCCAGCAACAACAGGAGGGTGGAAGGCAGAGGTCAGATACAAATGTACCAGGAGGTGAGTGAGAGAAGGGAGGAAGGAAGAGGAACGGAGTCAGATAAAGGGGAACAGATTAAGGAAAGGGAGGATCTGAGGAGGAAAATAGGAGAGTCAGCTACAAGCAGCCTCAAATGTCAGTTTGAAACACTAAAGGAGACAGAGGTGATGGAGGAAAGGGAAGAGAGGAGGAAGGTCCAGAGGGTCAACCAGGATTTATTGTTGTTTTCTCAGGGTCAGGGTCACACAGGGTCAGACAGCACAGACTCACCAGGGTCATATCTTAGGGTGATGGTGTTGGGAGAGACCTGGTCACCGCGGAGTCCAGCTGGAGTCTCCGTTCTGGGTGGAGAAGATGTGAGATCCAAAGAGAATGGCTCTACCTTCAGGTGTTGGAGAGGTCAAATAGGTGGGAGGAACCTCGCCATCGCAGAGCCCCTCGGTCTGAGGTGGAGGGACGGTCCAGACGTGGTCTGTGGTCTGCAGAAGAAGAGTCTTGTGGACAGCAGGTCCTGGTGTCACCCTGGACCTCACATCGTTCTCCTCCTCATACCTGCCTTCCTAACCTGCACTCAGAAGTACAGGAGAGCTCTTGAGGAGCAACTAGCTTTGATAGGAGAAGACACTTGGCAGCGCACCCTGGTGGTGTTCACCTGGGGAGAAACTTTAGGTGTGAGTGCAGAGCAGCACATCCTGAGGAACGGAGAACTGATGACGCTGGTGGAGAAGTGTGAAGGCAGGTTCCATGTTCTGTCCAACAAGAAGAAAACAACAGAGTGTGAAGAACTGTTGGAAAAGATGGAGGCTTTGACCCGCAGGGGGCAGTGTGTTTGAAAGACTGAACATTTGTTGAGAGAACTTTTTTTTAATTACATATTTGATATCAAAATAATTTTACATTTATAAAACAACTTGTTTTAATGTATATGTTATATTTAATGCATATTTTATGACAATAAATACATATTTTTGTTGAAAGTTTAAGTGAATTGAATTAAGTGGAAAATAAATGCAAAAATAGTGTAACTGAAATTTAATGTCAATGTTGAATTATGAATAAATGCAACATTACATGTTAAGAATTATACAGTGATTGAGCCAATAGATTAAAACTAAACAAAGTTATTACTAAATCATTAATATAGTTAAAAAATTATATAAATAAATATATTTAAAAATTAAATTATAGAAATTAAATAATAATATAAACAAGCCGGTAGGTTTTTACATACAACACTGACAAGAGTAAATCCATCCACCAGATGGAGCCCTTGCGTTGTAACCGACGCCACTTACTGAATGATGAGTGTTGAAAGCCTCTGATGCCAGCGAGTTGATGGTGAGTGGAGTGAAGCTGGTCAAATTTCTTTTCACGTTTTTTTTTTTACACTTTTCCTCCCATAAATGTCGACGTTTTACCTTTAAAAAAAAGAGAGGAGAAGAATGAAAATAGCGCCATCACACAAAAGGCCGTTGCTCCGTCTTGACTGGAGGCATTTCTGGAGAAAACCAGACCATCTTCGCAATTATAACGGCAGGGAGCCTGCAGCTGAATGAGAGGCCTCCTGCTTTGACAAGTAAATGATGACTCTTGATGAGAGGAGAACGCCTTTCTCTCCGAATGCACTTTTTCTGACAGGCGGGATTCATACAACAACCTCCATCATGGTGGAGACGAGCCAGATGCTGCATCCAAAAGCACCCGTGTTTACGTCTCTGTGTGTGTGTGTGTGTGTAATCACGGGGCTAATAATTATGGAGTTCGAGTGCTGCTGTGTGTCTAACATGGCAGCGATGTTTTTATTTAATCTGTCCATCCATTCATTTATTCATTCCTTCATTCATTCCTTCAATGCTGGGCTGCGTTCAGGGCCCAGATGAGAGGGTGGTGTCGAGATGGCAGCCCTGCGTCTTTGATCAGCTCTGCAGGGTGGAGGCTGTTTTCACAGCGTCTGCTCAGAAATGAGGAGAAAACATGTTGTCAAACGGCTGCTGATGCTGTCGGCGGTAATTTTCATACACTTTAGTGAAAATGTTTTAAACATGAACAGGTTCCCAGCACCAGCTCTGCCTTTATATTTAGACGGCGTGGCTGTGGCTGTGTCTGACATTTTATATTTCACATCTCATTTATGATAATTTGGCACAAGTCGAGGTGGCACAGTTCACTGACTCCTGGAACTGTTCTAGGTTGTCTCTGGAACTGTTGATGACGTTAATGCAGAGACATGTTGTAGAGTAGCGCAGAAGTAAAATATACTGTACACAAGTATAGAAGTATACTTATGGATAAGAAGTATATTAAATATGACCAGAAATAATGTAGTAATACTGATCTCCGACTAATCAATCATTTATAAGGTCCCTTGAACTGGTGTGTGTGTGGAGGGGGGGTCATACATATATACAGGCATATATGCATATATGTAAATATATTTTAAAAGTATATATATATAGACATACACATATACAATATATGTAAATATATGTATATGCATACACACATATATATTGTATATATTATTTATAAATATATCTTTAAGAAATTCCAGCTGTAATCTCAAACGATTAGTGTTCTGAATTTCCACACATTCAGACAACAGAACTGAAAGTATAGGTCCATTCTTTATCTTTTTTGGTTTTATATATATATATATATTCCCTGACCTCTGTCAAACACAATCATAATCCAAGGGTTTCAAAGTCAGAGGTTGGAAGAGGAATTTAAAAAGCAGAAAACTAATAAATGTTTCATCACAAAAGGCGTGAAAACACACTTTTATTTTCCTTCAAGGACAGCGAGGAGCGATCACCCTCCTCTGCAGGTACCGAGGTGAGTCCTCGCTCCCTGTGAGCACTGTTTGGCTGAAACCACTCTCCCACAAGTCACTTTAGATTTTTGTTAGCATTAGTCCAGATTAGGGACTGACTGTAAACCTCATTTCTCTTTATTTGGAGCCTTTTAAGACCCTTTTTTAAGACACCACAATAGAGAAGGAACAGCCGAGTCAATCATGTCCACAGATGTTGAAACCAAATGAACCGCTGCTGCTGTGCTGCGTTAAAACACATGTTAATGGTGGGGCTGATTTGAAGGTCTGTTCACTCTCTCATTTGAATAATGGTTCAAACAACAATGTTTTTTTTTCTGTCTTCTTTTCTCTACTTGACCCAGACAAGCGAATAAATGTGGTTCTGCTTTAACACGTCCATTAATATTCAAGTGGCTCTAATAGTCCTGCTGTAGTTCACGCACATCATCATTAGCAGGTTAGTCTGCGCCAACAATCGGACTCTGACTGTGACGCAGGGTGTTGACAGGAAAAAGCCCAGAACTGTTGGACTGGGACCTGGACACCAAGTCTACAGGACTGGGAGACTGCAGGACTCTGTTAATGTCACAAACAAGTCCAAACAACTGTGGCAGTCCTGTGTGATATGAATTCTCTGTTGACCTTGTCGTACTTGACTCGTCACTGTTCAAAGTCAGTTGGGTTCTGAGTCCCCAGTGTCCAACACTGCACTACCAGTGTTTTAACAAGTCTCAAGTCCTTACTGATTCTGACGTGTCCTCTGTCTTCAGAGATCAAGTCCAGGTCAAGCTCCATGTCTTTTTGCATAAATCCAGCATATGTGATAGAGTCAAATAGGAATTCTGGGAAAGTACTTGTACTCAAACACAGTACTTCCCCCTCTTTCTTTTGTTGTATTGATTTACATGTGCAAGTCCCTGGCTCGGGATGAAGACCAGTAGACAAAATATATTACAACGTTTTGACATTATTTTTGGACTACAAAAGCTTCTGTAGTTTTCTGACTTACTACGAAAACTAGGGCGGAGTCTTCATCCAAGTCAAAAACAAGGTCATGTTCATTTGATAGTACATTTTAAAGTTTTGTGTTTCCAGCATTATGCTGCTCCTCCACTCTGACATACAGTCGATGATGCTGGTAAAGCTGACTCCCTCACAGCTCCTAACTCACCCCGCCCTCCTGGACTACATCCTTTATGGCTGATTGCATCCAGTGGGCCAAAGCCAGGTCCTGGAATCTAGCTAATGAGACCCCCCTCCCCATCCCCCCATTCATCCCTGAGGGTAATTTGTGGTCCTATTGGCTGAGCGTCTGATGGTGGACACGGACGATTGGCTGAGGGAGTCTCTGTGTTGGAGCAGCTGTCAGAAGGAGTTAGAAATCAAAGTCAGAGGATTCATATCCAGCCTGGCACACAGCAAAAAACCTAAATGAAGTGGAGCAGCTTTACTCAGACTAAGACCCAGTCTTCTAATGTCGTGTTAACTTTAGTAGGACCTAACAGAAAGTCATCTTTAACACAAAAACAAAATACCTTCTAGAATGGAGAACACTAGAATGGATAAAAGTAAATGTCCAAGTCACGTTCAGGCCACGTTCTAGTCGTGTCCTAGTCATATCCAAGTCTCATTAAAGGAGTCAATGATCTTGAGGCCTTTGAGACCCTTAAGACTTGACTGATCCGCCCCACAAATTGAGGTTCAAATCCCAGATCAGCCAGGAGTTCTATGGACTGGAGTGCTACAATACTGAGGTTTAGAGTTGTACAGCGACAGAGTTGGAATAGAACCGATGAACTTCTGGGTGAAGGACAAACTTTGCCAATGTAATATTTGTTTTAAAAGAAAGTTTCATACAGATGAGGAGCAGGTTTTTACAGTCAGTGGGTTAAAGGACAAGAAGAAATAAGAACCAGGGATTAAAATGAAAACATTTTACACAAAACTTCACAAAAAGAGTGAAATCAAAAAATTTCTAAGGGTCTAACCTTCTCTTCAGCCCTCCTCCCCCCACCCTCCCACTGTGTTTTTGTGTGTCTCTGATGCTCTTGGGAATCATTTGGAATCAATTTATTGTTGCCTTTTTATCTTTGTTTGCTGGTCCTTTTATGTGTTACTAATTAAACTTTTTACAGCCGTTTGATTGACTTTCATTTTCGCAACATTTTGCGGTGCAGGTCACATGACCTCTTTTTTAGTGGTGGAAAGAAAAAAAGATCTGGAAACAATTTCTCCATCCTTAAATTCTTCGAGCTCTGTTTGATCTTTGCCTCAGTTAGACATTGTTGTCTTCATTTTCATCATCTCTGTTATTTATTGTCATTTACGTCTTCGTAATGATTTTTTCCACAGCTTCAATTATTCTTTCTTCACCTATACATACCTACAGTATATATTCAGGCAATTATTCTTTCTTCACCTATACATACAGTATACAGTATATATTCAGGTTTGTTTCAAATGTCACCGTTCACATACTGTCAGCCTTGCCTTACGATTGGTCTGTGTGGACATTAGCTACAGAGTAGGAGACAGTGGGTGTCTGTTTGGACATTTAGCAGCATGTGGACAGGAACAGTTTCTGGACAGCACTGTTTCTTCCATGTGTACATGTGGACTACACCTCCCAACACCACCCCAAACAAGATGAGCTAAATTCATTTATACCAGACTGACTTTCTGCTGAGGTAGAATGCATCATGGTCCAATCGTGTCAAATTCAAATGAAATCATAAAAATGCTAAACATTGAAGGCTGTATCCCTGAATTATACATTAATTCACACTCTGCTCTCAAACGCCCACAGCTGTCCCTCTGTTCAGGTGACTTCTAACCCGGTCTATTCTGCTCACTTCTACAGAAACTCACAGCACCCTCATCGCCGCCTGCTCTAGCTCAGCTTCTCTTCTTACAGATAGCGCCACCACTCTGCAAACCATATGTCATAGCAGAGCTCACTGCTGTCAACAAAAACATCAAGCATACGTCACAAAAGCAGCTGCACCAGCAGCGGGGGTCAAAGGTTCATGGAGGACAAGAGCCCTCTAGTGGTGAGCAGCAGGTCAGCATGTAGGCTGTGTCCTCTCAGTGGTCGTTTGCTCTTTTACAGATTCAGTGGAGCGTGGACTCAGAGCCCTGGGCAGAGTTTATTTTGGTGAGATAAGAATATACTACTGTCAGTTAGCTCAGTTTATCTTCCCTTCATCGTGTTATGACACGTGCACACAAACACACACGTGCACA